TCAGTGGCTTTCAACACAATTCAGGGCCATCTGTCTGGCATAGGACTTGGAGGCACCATTTTCTATAGGTTCGTGTCCTTTCTGAAAGGGAGAACTCAGAGGGTGGTGCTGAGGGACTCCTGCACACCACCCTGACCACCCCTGATTCTGTTTTGTCCCCAATGCTATTTGACATCTATATGAAACTGCTGGGAGAGGCTCCCCAGAATTCAAGGGTTCGGTGTCACCAGTATGCAGATGACACCCAACCCTATGCCCTCCTTTCCATCTAAATCTGAGGAATCTGATTCAGTCCTAAATCAGTGTCTGGTGTCATAATGGACTGGATGATGGTGAATGAACTGAAACTTCAGACAAGACAAAGGTGCTGCCCGTTAATCAAAAGGGAGATCAAGGAATAAGAATTCGGCCTTTGCTTATACTTTCCATGAAAACACAGGTTTGCAGCTTGGGTGTGCTCAGGTGATACCCAGGTCTCAGCAGGGGTCAGGAGGGCCTTTGCACAATTAAAATTAGTGTCCCAGCTATGCCTGTTCCTCGTGCTGTCTGATTTTCCCACAGAGCCATGTGCCTTTCTTACAGCACACCCCCTTTTTATTACTGTGCTGCTTGGAAAAGTGTTCAGACACTTCAACGGGTCCAAAATGCTGCAACCAGATTGTTAACTAGGCTTGATTACAGGGAACATGCATGCTCCACTGGCTGCCCACCCATTTCCAAACACAGTTCAAAAGTGCTGGTTTTGATCTATAGCACTCTAAATCAATTGAGTCCAAGCTATCTGAAAGGTCATATCTCCATATGCGTGCCTGTCTGGGTTTTAACATCATCAGGGGAGGTCTTTCTATTGGTGCCTCACTTTGGTGAGGACAGAGCAGGACATCCACAGCTGAAGCATTCCTGGTAGGTGGCCATCTAACCTCTGGTTTGAAATCTCCAGTGAAAAAAAGTCCACCACTTCCAAGCCAGTCTATTTCTTACTGTCAAGAAGGTCCTCATAACATTTAGGCCAAATTTTCTTGTTTGCTATTTGAATCCATTGCCTTGAGTCCTGCCATCAGGTGCTACATAAAACTAGATTGTCACTCTATTTGTCCATGTGACAACCCTTCAAATATTTGCCGACAGCCTCCCAATCTTTTTTTTTTTTTCCTTTTGGAGAAGATCTTTATTATAATATTTGCTGACAGCCTCCCGATCTTTTTTCCCTTGGAGATCTTTATTCTGTGTTACATTGAATCTAACTCATAGTCTCAGTCAGAGATGTCCTACTGAATTAATGGAATTTATTGACTCACCATTCAGCAACTGATTGTCAGATTAGCCTATGAGAATATCTATCTATCTATCTATCTATCTATCTATCTATCTATCTATCTATCTATCTATCTATCTATCTATCTATCTATCTATCTATCTATCTATCTATCTATCTATCTATCTATCTATCTAT